AGTAGCAGTAGCAGTGGTAGTGGTAGTAGTAGTAGTAGTAGCAGTAGCAGTAGCAGTAGCAGTAGCAGTAGCAGTAGTAGCAGTAGCAGTAGCAGTAGCAGTAGCAGTAGCAGTAGTAGTAGTAGCAGTAGCAGTAGCAGTAGCAGTAGCAGTAGCAGTAGCAGTAGCAGTAGTAGTAGTAGTAGGATGATAAGAAGAACAATACTAGACTAAGGTGGATAAGATTATATATTGTGATAACAAGGTTGGTAGAATTATTTTTATTATTGTTTGATTGGAAAAAGGCACCTCAAACTGTCCCGAGTTGCCTACTCCAGTGTGGGAGGACGCAATCTTCCTCCCCATGTTTATTGCCTTCCTCAAGCTATTGTCGCTGATTTTTCCATTCCTGATAGTTATTTTTTTGGTGGTGGGTTGGAAAAAGACCACGTCTGGTTTAACAGTTTTTCATAGGACTATCATCGGTTCTTTTCATATGTTTCCGCATTTTGTTTCCCATGAATCAATGGATTGGTTTAAGGGAAAACCTACAGGAAACCATAGATTTTCCCATTAAATATGAGGTTTTCCTGTAAAATTTCCCCTAAACCAATCCATTGAATGAAATTGCTATTTTACTGGGTGTAGAGTTCGGTAAAACGTGGCCCATTTGAGGCGATTCAGCCATCCAAAAACCTTTTGCAGCAAGGAGTTCCTGGCACGAGACGAGAAGGACTTGGAGAACAGGAACGTCCCTGGCATGATTTGATCTGGGTACAACAACCTCACAAAACATCATGAATACCCTCTGGTAATTTAACGTAGCTATTGAAAATGGCCATTAATAGTGGATTTTCCCATTAAAAATGGTGATTTTCTATAGCTATGTTAAATTACCAGAGGGTATCACTAATATCACTAATATCACTAATATCAATATATATCCATTGATATCCATGAATATCTCACTGAATGTTTGGGGAATCATGCCAAACAATTACTGGAGAGAAATATCTAAGTGTGCTGAGCCAGTGAGGCCAGTGATTTCATGGCATCCGTTTGGGATTTTGAGAGAAAATATTGGAAGTTGTTTGACTGGCGAATCCACAACCCCTCATCCCAGTTGGAACTTGCCTACCCATATGATGCGGACCCACCCGTGAAATAGACCCACCCGTCTTATCAGGCTTGATCCTGGTTTCCCTATAGAGATTGCATGACATAGCTATGTTACATGCTGGTTAAACATGGTTAATTACCATCTGGTTATTTAACATAGCTGTGGAACAGGGACCATTTTATAGATGATTTTCCCAGCTAGAAACCTCCATTTATGAGGGATTTTCCATGGCGATGTTAAATAATCAGATGGTAAACATAGTTAAACCATGAGAAAATGCCCTTTTTTGGGTGAACTGACAGCGCGCCCGTCCGAACTTGGCCCGACAGGTGGAAAGACTCCACCGGTTTCACGGTGTCAACACGGCACCGGGATCATTTTTTCATTTTTTTGGGGAAGGATTGGATATTTATCCCATGACATTCTGAAAAGATCCGAGTCAAGCATCAAAACATATCAAAAGCATTCGAAAGCCATCTATTTCTATCCTATTTCTATCCTGTGTTTATATATTCTAATCACGTTTAATCTGTGTTTGATCCACGATTTCAGCGCTGATAGGGACGGACGCAAAGCGCGAAAAGCATCTTGGGCGCCATGGCCAGCCCGGAAGTCGCGTTGTCACGGAGGAGTTCCTAGGGAAATTGCCATGATTTGGGCAACTTGGCTGATGATCTTTGGTGATTCTTGGATGTTTAAGGGTCTAAAAATGGGGGAGTCAGGCATTTAATATCATTTATATAATTCACAGGCCATTTCATGGTGAAGATACGGGAAGATGATGAAGCAACGGACTTAGAGGTGGCCTATTTTCAGACAAAGCCACGTGTTGTGTCCAAGAATTACTGTAGCTGCAGGATGCTGCAGGTTTGGAACCTGGCTGTCAGCTGCGCAAGAATGTGGACCGCAGACTTAAGGGACCTGCTTGACAGATGTCATATCTTTCGCTTCATGTTTGCTCTGTCTAAAAGAAACTGTCAACCCCGGATTTGTAGCCTCCTTGGCTGTTTAATTCGGGGCTAGCATTTTGATGGCAGATTATCACTATTGGGGGGAATACGGAATACCCCCTCCATTTTATCGGCTTTGCCACCAGGCACATGTGCAGAAGGGTACCATCAACACCCACTACACGCCGGAGATGCAACTTGGAAAAACTGCGATGGTGGAGCCGTTCCAACGGTTCTTTTGTTTGATGATTTGGGTACACACACATATAATTATATATATATATGGTATGGGTGAAAAACCTGTGTTTTTTTCCCCACCTGCTAGGTGAGGGTCTCTAGATTTTATCAGAGTTGCTTCCTTCTTCTCCACGTGGAGCTACCCTGGTTTTTTCAGGATAAAATGGGAAGAGACGCCGGCATCGCATAGCGCCACCCCACGCCAGGCCCATGGGAAATTCCTATCTGTGGGATTTGTTTCCAGGTCTATCAACAATGCTTATACATTGTACATGTTTTTCATAAGCGGTTGTTTAAAACGCAATCACCTGTTTTTTTTTTGGTGGGGGTGGTGAATCAAGGTTCATGTAGTCCTGGTTTGGGGTGTGCATGGTATTGGTGGACGAGATGAATCTGGCATATATATATATGTATATAATTATATATATACAGAATTATAGAACCGTACCCGAACGATTGGATTTTGTATTGATTATGGAGAGTAGATACTCCAAATATTTCAGTCTAGTATCATTATAGATTTTTCAGATGTATCTAGGTAAGTAGGTAGAGATGTAGATATACACAAATACATATGGGTTCATTTGAAATAGGGTAGTTACCTCTGTGAATCAATCAGTCAATGATCAGTTTCCCTGTTAAAATCTTGTTGGTATGGTCCCATTTTCAGACTCACCCATACCTCGTGCTTTTGGTTACATATCCTTTTCTAGATCCTTATTGATATTGGTTAATCTATATTGATCGTAGTTATAGGGTTTGTCTGAACATGTCCGAACATAACAAGTGCCCCTGGATCCATTGATGAATCATAATTTCTTCTATTAAAACTTTAATTTCATGGAACCCTTCCCATTTTCAATATTTTCAGACAAACCCACATATCATATTGATATATTGTTGGTTATTCTAATATAGGCTAATCCATGTGGATCCCATCCATGGCGATTTCTAGCCATGGTTATTCATCACTATCTGAAAACATGATGAACATCATTAAACCCAGTTAACTATATATATATATACCCAGATGCTCCATGTATGGAATATTTACCAACATTTATCCCATAAATGATCCAAATGTAGGTAAATATACCATACATGGAGCATATGGGATATATATATATATCCCCCAAGATCTTCCATAAAATCCCAGTAGCGTCCCATAGAATCACCATGAAACCCGCGTGGCCATGGCCCAGCCTTGGACGGCCAGGGGTCAATCCCCGCCCTGACAGCCCCGCGACCACCCACAGCGGAGTGTCCGCCGCAACGCACGCCGCGGCTGAAGCAACATGCAACTTGGAAGGGGACGAAGGGGGCGCAGGGGTTGGAAAGTGGGAATACCAAACCCATGGAGAAAGCCACTTCAATGAGATGTTACCATGAAATATATTGAAATATGGGGATTTCACATGATCTAACAATGATCAAACTGTTATGAACTGATCCATAAAAAAATCGATTTTTAGGCTTTCTCTGACAACTTATTCGGCATCTGCTGAAAAATGACGTCATGCCGAAAGTACACCGTGCAACCGTGCAGTGGTTCAACGTGGCCTCCCAGACTCCCAGGTCATCTCTCCGGCGCGTTTGGGCCACAGTATCCACATCAACAAGACCGGCTTCCTGGAGGTGCGACACATCACTCTGAAAGCGGGTCTGGGATTTGGGGATTTGGGGATTCTGGGTCTGGTTGCAGGGGATAAAAATGTGGATGTGGATACTGTACCCTCTGGTAAACGTTTACATAGCGAACTGGAAAATCACCATTTGAGCGAGCCCAAAAACCGTTTTGAATTGTTTTAATTAGGGCCTTGTCATATGAGCATTTGGCGTAAGCAAAACCCTGGTTGGCGCAAGGTGGCGTAAGGGGTTTTGTCAAGAATGTGCTGCGTAAGCACTGTGCGTAAGCACATGTGTGGCATGTGCAAATCAAAGTAAGAGATTGCCCCTCAACTATGGTTTCCTTGTGTGTTTTCTTAATTGTTCTATTTTTTTTGGTTATAATTCCCCAACACTATGGCCACATTCCGCGTAAGCTCCGCGTAAGCTCCGCGTAAGCAGCGCGTAAGCTGAACTTGACTTTTTGAGTAGTAGCCCACATGCCCGCGCAAACAAAAGCCTTTTCGGACCTGCAATGGCGCCAAAGAAACCGCGTCGTTGGAACTGTTTTTGAAATTTTCGAAGCACATTGCCCCTCTGTCGCGTAGCTCTTCTTCCTCTTCTTCGACCTCTAGCTCTTCTTCATCCTCACAGCGCTGATGCTGCAAACATATTTGACGGTGAAAACAAGCAGTGGCGTAAGCAAAACCTGTGGTGAGGCATCATTTTTTCGAGATTTCCCAGTGCGTAAGCTCCGCGTAAGCTAGTTTTTTCTCATTGTTCTCGCGTAAGATAACACTGTGTGCGCGTAAGCAGTGCGCAAGCCCCAGCGTAAGCATATCCAAGCGACATGGCAAAGGAGATAGGTTTTTGGCGCGGCTCATTTTTAATGGGAAAATCCACTATGAATGGGCCATTTTCAATAGCTAGGTTAAATTACCAGAGGGTAAGTGTACGCCAGGTGCCCGGAAATCCATTGCTGAGCCAATTCATTGATCCGACGATTTTGTTGCCATTTGATGGCATTCCCAGCAGTTTCAGACAAACCCACTCATATTGTTGGTTATTAATATGTGCCAATCATTGCCAATCCATGTTGATCTCATTTCCATGGCCATTTCTAGCCATGGTTATGCACGATATCCAGTAACATTACCTTCCAGTAAATTAACATAGCCTCTGCCATGAGTTGGGGTTTGGAAGATTAGTGTCCACTAGAAACTGGCCATGTCAGGGTCGAACTCTCAACCCAGTTAACCATATATATATATACCATAACGGGCCTGCCCTCCGGTGTCATCAAAGGTGGCGGGCCGCCGGAAAATCCTCGAACTTAATGGAGGTTTGGTTCGTTAGGACATTGATCCAACTAAATGATGGATAAATATGGATAAATCAATTCATAACCACCTATCATGTGGGTAAAACAATGTCATAAACCATCAATGACTGGGAATGGTAAATGGTAAGTTCAAAAACCACCTATCAGAATGGTGATGACTGAGGGATGGTGGGTTTGTGGCATTGTTTTGACGACGAAAAACGGAGCTTTGACGTCAACAAAATCTAACAAACACAGGGATATTTCAGGGATTGATGGTTTATTATCTGCTTGCTGGTTTGGAACCATGTTTTTTTTTGACTTTCCATACAGTTGGGAATGTCATCATCCCAACTGACGAAGTCATATTTTTTCAGAGGGGTAGGTATACCACCAACCAGTTATTGTTTTCACGACATTTACCCCCTGGTAAATTAACAGTTGGACCCTGAAAATGACCAATTTATAGTGGTTTCACTAGTCTTCCAACCCCTATCTGGCAGGGTCTACTTGGTGGCTCATCCCACTTAGTAAGTGGGTTATAACCCCAATTATAAGTGGATTAACCCTACTTATCCCATTTATAACTAGGGCTATAACCCACTTACTAAGTGGGATGAGCCACCAAGTATGTTAATTTACTGGAGGGTAATCGCCATATCATTCGGCCTTGAGTTTGACTGCTGATCTCTCAAGATGGTGACAGGATCGGGCTGCCACGGCCCGCGGTGGGAGCAGGTGGGAGGGCTGGGGCCGAAGAAGGGCTCCTGAAAACAACAACTCGGATCCGAGAAATGCTATTTATAATGGGACTTTAGTGGATTCTAATGGGACTTTAGTGGATTCTAAACTTTAATGGAGTTCAATGAGACTTGAATGGATTTGAATGGGACTTTATGGATTTGAATGGGACTTTAATGGATTTTAATAGGACTTTAATGGCGTTTAATGGAATTAAATGGGATGTTTTGTTGATTTTAGTGGTTTAATGGGGTTTTAATATGTTTTAATACAGGTTTCATAGGATACAATGGGAATTAATTGGATACCATTGGGATTTACAACCAGCAGTGTATATATATATATATATGGGTAAATTATAACGACCTCACTGCGACCTCACTGGAATCATGGTTAATAAGGGACATCATCCCCAAATGGCCTTAATTCAGGTTGGTGAATTATTATAAATTACCCAGATAATATATGTATACTGTATATTATAGGTTTGTCCATGTTTGTCCGTTAAAATAGTGGGTTATGTACGCAATTTTTTTCTTCAACTTTCAGAGAAAGCCTGGCAGGAGCTGGATCTATGGATATCTATGGGTTTCAATACCCAAGTCACCATGGGTTTCAATATTAAAATCTGGTTGGTGTTTTTTTTTAAACCTTTATTAATAAGTTCCCAAAAAATGAATGGGTTATTTATGGTTACCCCCATATATAAATGGCTTATAATCACTGCTTGGTGGTTTGGAACCATGTTTTTTTTTGACTTTCCATATATTGGGAATGTCATCATCCCAACTGACGATTCGTCATATTTTTCAGAGGGGTTGGTTGAAACCACCAACCAGAAAATGCTTAGCATTTTGGATTTGGGGTACCTAAATTTTCTAGGAAACCTGCACTTGTTTGCAGAAAGGGGACCCATGGACCTGGGCGTCATATCGATGAACATGCCAATTCACCAAGCATTGTAGGGGATTGGCACGAGGTTTTGGCCGCGGCTCACGTGAAACGTTGCACAAATTGGGACCCTTTACATCAATTCACGACTTAATTTATTTGGGACTACTGTAACCTATCAACCAACTAGTTTAATTATCAACCATTATAGCCTATCAACCTATTATACCTATAACCATATTTTAGATAGCTCAATTAAGCGAAAGTAGCCCACTTTTTTTTTATTCAATCAATCCACAACTGGACACGAGGCGCTTGGCAGGGTTTTTTTTATCTGCCCTGAACCCGACAGCTGGGACCATTGCAGTTTCAACGTGCAATCTGGGGAAAATCATGAGAAAACCATAGAAAAACCATAGGAAAATGGAGGTTTACCCTCTGGTAAATTAACATAGACCCTGAAAATCACCAATTTTTAGAGGAAACTAATCTTCCAACCCCTATCTACCAGGGTCTATGTTAATTTACTGGAGGGTAAATATTTCAGTTTCCTATGTACCTTCCTCAATTTAATCTTAACTGTACTTTCATCAATTTTTACAATTCAGGTCTATCCTTAAGTTGTCAGCTTCTAAATTCGGGGGCTTTGACGCAAGCCTCGCCATCTGCAGCCGTTTTTGGCTACCAACAACCGACCTTGCTCCGACCCGGCGCGGCGCCGTTTCGACACGATGGAGATGGTGCCGACAGGAGCAGCAGGCTATGCACGATCTGTGTCGGATGACCGCTGTTCATTATTGTCTACAGAGGACCCAAGGAGCGCGGGGCGCTTTGGCTTTGTTTCGCTTGGGTGAGTTCCTATGGAAATTCCTATGGTCAACGAATGTTGACTGAAAAACGGGTCTGGAGAAGATGCCTATATTATAATTATTAGATGCCTTCAATCTCATGGTCCGATGATTCATTGTTCTACCACCCGCATTCTTGGACACCTTTTTGAGCATGAAAACCCCCGTGGTTTTTGCTAGCTGGGGCGTGTTCTGTGTCGCACACCAATGCTGGGTCAATGATAGGTGGCAACTGGCGTGCTTTCCATCGCCGCTGCAATTCGGAAGATACTTTCGAAGCAGGTAAGTTGATAGTTCAAAATGGTTATATGATTTTCCGTCGCTTTGCTATCCTGACACCTTAAAGATGTTGCTGTTTCGAAGCCATTTATTCTTCTTTGCTTGATGCAGATCCATCTCAATCAATCAGGACTTGACAAATCCAGGGGCAACCCTAGATTGGATTTAGTAATCCAAAGCAACACTTCGAGTGGTTCCAGTGGTTTAAGCTGCAAGACATGGCTGGCTCCAGTTGTTGCTACTTAAAATCCTGCCAGTTGGTAATCAAAGTCCTGATGTTTGTTTGCATCCCAACTTTAGGCATGATGAATACTTTGGTTTCTGCTGCTGATTAGATTGGCATTTCTCTTCTTAAATCATTTTGCCCTTCAGTCCACTTAATACAGATGTGGACAATCTGCCATTCCCAGATCACATCGCATGGCACAGTCAAGTGTAATTCCTACATGTTGTCCAAGTATTGGTTGAGGTAAGTTTGAAGGACATTTTCCCAATGATGGGCAACAATCATGGTTTCTTGCAAAACATCCGTTAATTCGCCACAGAAAGATAGAAGCAGCATCATCCTACTGTACAAAAACATGCGGTAAATTGATGTAAATTGTTCCTTTTCTCGCTTTTTGGGGTTACTGTACTGCAAATGATTATAAGCCGATTGCAAATACTCCATTGGTCCATTCCTGGGTCACTCAAGCCATTGTTCGACCGACCTTCGCTAATTTCACTTGTTAAATATTTAAGTTATATTATATCCCAATGTTCGTGGTTACACCGTTAAACCGTTAAACCACCATTATTCACCGCTGATTAAAACAATCATGTTTGATGGTTAAAGTTAAATATGTTAAAACCACTCGATTTTGATAGATACCCTCCAGTAATCAAACGTGTCGGGCTGGGAAATTCTCCATTTATCATGGATTTTCCGATTAAACACTTCATTGAGCGGATTTTCCATGACTTTCCGCAATGTTTTTGTCAGGAGCGGCAAGAAGGACCGCTTCCGACGCTTATGGTCTGCCTCTACAGCTGCCTCCAGCGATGTGACCTGGAAAGTTGACTTGGGGATCCCCCAGAAGAAACCCCCATATGTAGCCAACAAATGTCAACATTATGGGATTGAAAATGGGGTGTTTAACCTCCAAATGGCTATGTTATTAGGGAACATGATGATAATCCAATGGATTAGTATAGGGGCACAGTAGTTTCGAACATATCATGGGATATGTATAAGCAAAAACACAACCGAAAACCACGGTGTTTTAAATGGCAAAGATGGGGATGATAGTTGGGTTTGTCCAACTATGGTGGATCAAAGTGGTTTTTGAAACCGCGCATCACGCGCATCACGCATGGGGGTAGAAAGGTGGTATTTCATGGGTATTTCAAAGGAAATGAGTAGAAAAAAGAAAGACACATACTGAGGAATTAACCAACCAACAATAGGGATTTCACAAACTATTGGGATATTATAGGGATATAGCCGGTTCATGGAGATTTATAGAAAAAACCCAAAAATATAGAAAACATAGCATGCCATTTTTGAAGATTGAAAACTTTTACCTTTTCCATCCTTTTGTTTTCTTTTTTTTTGGATGCAATCACGTTGTCCAAGCCTCCGGCTGGATGGGTTTTACCATCAAACATGGTGGAGAAAGAAAACCAGAAAAAATATGGTGAATTTACATTTTCCTACCATCACAATATTGAAAACCCTCCATGGAATGAAAAGTATGGGTTTTACATGGTTTTACCAACAAGCACTAGGAAAATCATGGAGGGTTCATCTGGGATGAATTTCCATTCCAACTTGTGATGTCACGATATGTCACGGAGTTCAAGGTGACTACCCTTGGGTATTCAAACATAACAAATCGTAGCAGCCAAAGATGTCCCATTGATGACTTTCCCATGAAGACCTCCGTTGATAGGGAGTTTCCCAGCTAGCTATGTTTCACTACACCGGAGGACATGATATCTGGTTGAATTATAGTGACCTCACTGTGACCGAGCCCTGGAATCATGCCATTTGGATTCCGGGAATCGTCCCCGGCCGAACTGGTCAGATTAGTGAAATACATTGAAATATTATCTGGCTGCTGGTTTCAAACATGTTTATTTTCCATTTCATATATGGGATGTCATCCTTCCCATTGACGAACTCATATTTTTCAAGATTGTTTTTTAACCACCAACCAGTTATATTATTCAATATTATTCATTAGATCAGGTATAAAAATCACTAATAACCACTATTAACCACTATTACCCTCTGGTAATTTAACAGTTTGCTATTGAAAACGGCTATAGAAATAGTGGATTTTCCCAGCTATAAAATGGTGGATCTTTCCATAGTTATGTAAACGTTTACCAGAGGGTAATCACTATTAACCACTATTAACCACTATTAACCAGTTAACCAGCCATTTTTCATTAGATCAGGTATAAAAATCACTATTAACCATGGTTAAAACCACTATTAATCACTATTAATCAGGTATTAATCACTATTAACCATGGTTAAAACCACTATTAATCACTATTAATCAGGTATTAATCACTATTAACCATGGTTAAAACCACTATTAATCACTATTAACCATGGTTAAAACCACTATTAATCACTATTAACCATGGTTAAAACCACTATTAATCACTATTAACCATAGTTAAAACCACTATTAATCACTATTAATCACTATTAATCAGGTATTAATCACTATTAACCATGGTTAAAACCACTATTAATCACTATTAACCATGGTTAAAACCACTATTAATCACTATTAACCATGGTTAAAACCACTATTAATCACTATTAACCATGGTTAAAACACTGGTAGTAGGAACTATTGAATCATATTACATGTTAAACCCTATTAACCACTGTACTTAACATGGTTACAACCACTATTAATACACTATTAATCACTATTAATCAGGTATTAATCACTATTAACCATGGTTAAAACCACTATTAATCACTATTAACCATGGTTAAAACCACTATTAATCACTATTAACCATGGTTAAAACCACTATTAATCACTATTAACCATAGTTAAAACCACTATTAATCACTATTAATCACTATTAATCAGGTATTAATCACTATTAACCATGGTTAAAACCACTATTAATCACTATTAACCATGGTTAAAACCACTATTAATCACTATTAACCATGGTTAAAACCACTATTAATCACTATTAACCATGGTTAAAACCACTATTAATCACTATTAATCACTATTAATCAGGTATTAATCACTATTAACCATGGTTAAAACCACTATTAATCACTATTAATCAGGTATTAATCACTATTAACCATGGTTAAAACCACTATTAATCACTATTAACCATGGTTAAAACCACTATTAATCACTATTAACCATGGTTAAAACCACTATTAATCACTATTAACCATGGTTAAACACCACCTATTCTATTCACTATTAACCATGGTTAAAACCACTATTAATCACTATTAACCATGGTTAAAACCACTATTAATCACTATTAATCACTATTAATCAGGTATTAATCACTATTAACCATGGTTAAAACCACTATTAATCACTATTAACCATGGTTAAAACCACTATTAACCATGGTTATTGTAAGCCAGCCCTTTTTGGGGTACCGCCCTGGCACGGACACCATGGACACCGAGGCGATGTTCAACGGGGCATCTTCGCCAACCGCGACTTGGCATGGGCCTCCGGTGGGTGGAAGTCCAGGGGGAAAACTATGGAAAAGGAGAAAACATAGGCATTTCATGGGGAAACCATAGGAAAACCATAGGAAAATGGAGGTTTACCCTCTGGTCATGTCAAAATAGCGAACTGGAAAATGGCCATAGAAATAGTGAGTTTTCCCATTGAACATGGTGAATTTCCAGTTCGCTATGTAAACGTTTACCAGAGGGTAGCAAACGATCCAGGATCACATCTGGTGGATTCTCCAGTGAAAAAATGGAGGCTATGCGGCTATGCAGCATGCAGCATGCAGTGATATCTGGGATGGCCCAAGACAATGCCGACATCATTCATATCATCCATGTACCGAGAGTTATTTTCAGTACCCTCGAGATTTTGTGTTGACTCACTGGCAGGTATTTTCCGGTAATCAAACATGGCAATGGACAATTTATTCCATTTGTACATTGATCTCCCCAGCTATATATATATATAAATCATACTAACCCTTTGTTACCCTTTTCATTGGATTGGTTCTTTGCAAAATGCACTGCAATATTTACAACTAAAAAAACCTATAGACATCTAAAACCCACTAAATTCCGCTATAGAAATCAAATTGCACTAAATTCCATCGGATATTCACGTCGCTTCGCGACGGCAACCGCCCGCACCGCATCGTTGGGCAGCCGCTCGTAACTGCCAATGATGTCGGCCATTGAGACCAAAAACATCCGAAAGTACTGATTGTCGGAAAAAAAAACGCGAAGAATTTGATAGCCATGTATAGCGGACCAACGCAGTTCAAAAAATAACGAAAAACATGAAAAAACGGCGAAATTGCTGTTATTTACAGTGTTTTTGCGCGGTGAGAAGCAGAAACCACTGCAAATACCATGGTTTTTGAGGGTCAGGTGGCCAAAAACACTGTAATTTACAGTGTTTTTTTAACCAACGTCAAAAAACACTGGTATTTACGATGTTTTCATTCACACCGTAACATAAAACAGCGTAATTTACGAGGTTTTTGGAAGTTTTGAAGCTAGCCGTCAAGCATGCAGAAAACAGAAAAACACTGTAAAAACCAGTGTTTCTGCTATCACAAAACGACGAAAATCAGTCCGAAAACGGGTCCAAAAACTCAAAAATCCGCCTCCGGGCCCGGCCACCTGCGGAACCGCAAAAAAAGATGTTGCAAACCAAAAAATTGAGGTCAAAAAGTTGAAAAACACGGGTTTTTTTCACTTTTCGCTTGCCGATTTTGGACGGGCGCGTTCACGAACAGGTGTCTTCCGTACTGTTTTTTACAGTGTTTTTTGAAGGCGAGCGTCACGACCTATCAAAAACAGGAGGTTTTGGCCGAAAAATGCCCCCCCCGCCCCCAGGTAAACCTGTAACCTTTTACGGGTGCCATCCGGAAGATCACGCCCCAGCACCTTCGGTGCGGGCGGATTTCAATCATTTTGCTTGTGCCCTGCTCTGTTCCAGTCTGAAGATCTCAACACCCCAACAAGGGATTTCCATCACTTCCCTGCTGCTGTCCACTCTTCCCAATCTGGACCCTCCTGTTGATTCAACAAACTCTAGCATTGTTGATGGACTACCCCCTGAACATCGCACTATTGCCAATGAAAACGCATAAGCTACAAGTTACAAGGTTTCTTTGGATTTCTATAGGTTTCCCTGATGGCCTCACTCCCCCTACACAACACTAAACAAACCTTAAAGCAATAAAACAAAATAAGACAACAAAAATAAAACATGTTTTTTTTTTTGGGGGGGATATCAAAAACAAGCCTTCTAAACGGAACACCTGCCCAATTCAGGCATGGCCAAGTACACCTCACCCTCAGGCAGTGATCACCAAATCAGTCTTTGCATGTGTGAACTTGGCCACCCTTCATGACAGAACTTGCATCATGTCTACAGTTTTCGGAAAATTTATCGTTCTAAGATTCCACGAAAAGATCGGCCATTTAGAAGGAACCTTAAATGATGACCTGCAGAAAGGGTTTCTACGTTTAATAAACCTCCATTTGGTTTACCCTCTGGTTATGTCAAAATAGCTATTGAAAATGGCAATTTATAGTGGATTTTCCCATTAAAAATTGTGATTTTCCATAGCTAATAGCTATGTTAGTTTACCAGAGGGTAGGGATTTCCGACGTTTGATGAAACTTGGGAGCATGCTGCCGAATTTAAACCGAGGCGTCAGATGACTACTATGGCAGCCTGGCGAGCCGACCAGAGATTTACCGGTAGGTCTATTGAACATACGGTGGATGGAAGAAATCCTGCACCAGTTGATGGGTGGTTTATCCCATTGTTTATAGGGTTTCAACCATCCAAGGTGATGCAGGATTTCTTCCATCCACAGTATGAATGACTGGTTGGTGGTTTGGAACATGAATTTGATTTTCCCCAATAGTTGGGATGATGATCCAATCTGACTAATATTTTTCAGAGGGGTAGGTATACCACCAACCAGATGCACATCTATGAACCATCTAATTGCTCAATGAGACTCAAGTAGTACCCTTTAAACTTTATGTATTTTGACTACCCAAAGGTCATCCACACCAAACAGAACTTGGTACTGTGATAAACGGAACATAGCGGAACAATAAACTATCCCATTAACATCCCATTAACCAACCCTTTGGGTCCGGTGGGGCTGACCGATCTTAGAATATATTCAATCTAGTATATATATATGGGAATAGTAAGATATAGCCATATAGCAACATATAGCAACCACCAAAAATATCGCAAAGTATGTCCAGACTGGTACAGATCGTGTTTCATCCATGATTTCCAGGTGCCTTTTCTGATTTCTTGGGGGTTTTCGAGCAACCCTAGAGATGTTTTCGTTGTCACTGAAATGATGGTCCCAAGTCCCATCATTCTTTTATGGCCGGATCTCCCCGGTACGAACGGCTTATCAGTTGAATTGACCCATCTTTATAATCCATGCGTATCTATACATATTAATTACATATATGTATATATATATAGTAATGTAATAGTAACCATTTGCAACCCCGATATTTTCGACATAGTTATATACTATATAGTTCTTGGTTATGTATTATGTATATATATATATATATATATCATAGCAATGTATATATATATTATATAGTTACGTAATGTTATGTGTATATATATATATGTATGTGGTACAACTACTTATAGAACGACAACTAACCATGACCAAAGATCTATCAACTAAAACTAACTATACAATCCACACACACATATATATATATACACATAACATTACGAAACTATATAATCTATATCTACATTGCTATGATTTATATATATACATAACCAAGAACTATACAGTATATAACTATATAGTATGTAACTATCTTATAAATCTAAACTATAAAATAAATAAATAATAATAAATAGTTGTACATATATATATATATATAACGCCCCTTAATATTCCCATGATATGTCCCATACGTCCCTTATAAAGACCTTGGCCTCCGGGGCCGCCCAGGTCACGCCGGTCACGCCTCGCCCTCCTCAGACGGCGCGGCGACTTTGACGAAGCCGCTGGCGTTGGAGTTGCAGAGCGAGCCTCGGAGAAGTTCCACCGGGAAAAGGAGAAAACATAGGCATTTCATGGGGAAAAATTAGGACATTTCATGGGGAACTTCTCCACCTATGTTTTCTTAGGGGCTTGACATATCATGAAAACCACCCATCATGAAATGTTCTAATTTTGAAAAGTTCATGGGGAACAATTAGGACATTTCATGATGGGTGGTCTTATTTTTTTGGTAAAGTGGAAAACATATGGGAAATTGGAAAACTGCAATGAACATGGGAATTCTGCCTATTTTTTTTTGGTTGGACCTGATGGGCCAAGTTACCTATGAAATTCCAAGCTATTTTAGGGTAGCGTTTGTGTACCAGGGTTTTGACCCACAACCGCCCCGGATCTCATGTGCTTCTGCGAGCCGGTGTGGGCAACTGTGGGAATCCTGGGAACCCCAACCCACTACCCTCGTACTCAAAGATGGTAATAGAAAAACCCCTAAGCCCCTAAGAAATACCCTCCGGTAAACTAACTATGGAACATCACCATTTTATAGCTGGGTAAATCAACTATAAATGGTCCATTTTCAATAGCTAGGTGCTATGTTAAATTACCAGAGGGTATCTAAAAATGGAGGTTTTTTTTTCGGTCTTCCAATGAGAAACTTCGCGATTTTTCAAGGGTGGATTCGTTGGCGCGGTCGGCTGTCGAGGAACTCCTGGCAGAATTCACCTCTCCAAGCTTTCTGAAGGCCGAGATGTGGCTTTTGGATCCATTAAAGAAAAACCTTGAAAACGTGCTGGACCAGAATTTTGGATGATTTACTAGAAATTTTGAGTATATAGTCAAAAAATGTCCAAAATATCTTCTGTTTTTTTTGTCTGGGCTTTTGGGAACCAATTTTTGCACATACATCAGGTTTTGTATTTGAGACATCAGAACCCGGTGGCAATTGCCAGGTTAACAATTATCATCAGCAGATATCAGCAGCTATTCTTCCAGATCCAGAGTTTGACTGGCCATTGTCCGGAACCGTTTTGAACGGGCCACCCTGCCACAGGCAAAGCACACGTTAGTCACTGAGCTGCGAAAAGGGGAGGGTCAACGCAATATCCGGCGATTTAATGTGCACAAAGATCGCAAATGCAGAGTGCTGTAGCTGTACAGTTGGTCGCTTGATTTTTTTCTTACTACATATGATTACTCTGAATCCACATTTCTAGTTAGTTATTAGTTGCTTTATATTGATCATTATTAACCATTATTAACCATTGATCATTATTAACCATTATTACATTGATTAACCATTAATTATTAACCATTATTAACCATTACCATTGACCATATTACTATATTACTGTACATACCTTAGCCATCCAGGATGCCTGTGACGCGCTTTAGGTCCGGGAGCACTCCGTGAATACCTTGGCGTGTCGTGCGGCCCTGACGAAACTGGTGCGTGCCAGGCGGTAACTGTTACCGGGGGATGAAGGTATGGGGAGATGATCTGGTGGTTTGGAACCTTTATTAATAAGTGCCCTATATGAATGGGTTAATATGGGTTATTTATGATTATCGCCACATTTATATAATGGTGAATAATGGTGTTTAATAATGGTTAATGATGTTTAATGATGGTTATATAATGGTTAATCATGGTGATAAATTGACTGATTGGTGGTTTGGAACATGAATGGATGATTTTTCCATGGGGAAAAATCACCCCAACTGACGAAGTCCATCATTTTTCAGAGGGGTTGGTTGAAACCACCAACCATCACCAACCAGTGATAGAAAGTCAACACTGGGAAGAAATCATGGGAAAATATGGACAAAAAAAGACAGAACAGATATGAAAAGATGATGTTTTGCAGGCTATGGGAACATCATCATTTTTTTCCGTTTTTTTTCAGGAAAAACCATCGAATGGGCTGGGCCATGGCTTCCATAGCTCTGTAGCTAATAAGAAGAAATAGCAAGGGGTAAGATCAACAGGGGTGTTTTTTCAGCCAATTGATGGTGGTGTCATCAATCATGATCAAATGATGGCACTGTCTGTAGTCTCCAAACTACATCCCAATAGGATCCACCATCCCCAATAGGATCAACCAAATCCAAGCTATAAAAAATGGTTCATCCGGGGATGGTGGATCAACCATGAGTAAAATGATGAAAGGCGGAACCCATTTGGGGCTTGCATCCCTTGGGCTGGTCAGGCAGATGGATGTTCTGCCGCGATATGGCTTTGACTCCTCACCAGAAGGCGAGCGTTCAACGGGAAGAAGTCAGTCACAACGCAGCGTGGCGAAGAGGTAGGTGGATAATATATGATAATATATTCGCACTGAGGTGGGTGAGCAATGAGGAGGATGATTCCAAGTTGGATACAGCCTTCAGCACCAAGAACCCAGGATGATTCAATGATGACAACTTTACTAGCAGCGGCAACTCCATCAATTTTTGGTTTGACATGCCCTTTGCAATCAAGCCCTTGCTGAGTTTGTCTGAAAATAGGGTGCTCCCAAATCCACTGATTTATCATAATAATAATAATCATCATCATCTCAACATAAAAATGGCAATTTGGGGGTACGGTATGCCACATGTTCACAACCAGATATCACCTCAAGTTGGTTATATAGTGTTACGTATATATATATATCCCGTGAATTCCCGTGATATTCTACGAAGCATCAGCATGAAATAACGTTGTTTCAACATGCTGTTCCAAGCCTGAAAAATCAACGTTACGGGCGTCATTTTTTTGCGCCAGGTGTGGAGAGCATGCTTAGAGCCTTCAAGCAGCTGGAGAAGGATCCAGATATTTACGTCCCGAGCTCGGCAGTTGGAGAAATCCCAATCTGATGTCGAGAATGTCTGCTTCCATCCTGGGCCGTTTGAAAAAATTCTCAGTGGTCAAGGTTTTTACTCTATACTGATCACCTGACAATGACTTACTGGTGCTTAGTAGGGAATGGATGGGACTGGGGGAATGGGATGATTATTACTAGTGATTATGGATCATTCCCTCATTCCCTACTAAGCACCAGTAAGATACTGATCACCTGAAAATGAGGGCGTTTGGCAGCATATCCCACTATTCAAACAAGAAATAGAGGCGATGTTGAACGCGGACTAGAACAACCCGTGCTGGCTGGAGAAAGATGGGTGGACCAATTGATGAGATTTGACCCCCGCACCCGAACGTCCTGAAGCATTTGCTTGCTGCTTATTTTTGGTAGATATTTGCAGTTATTTGCTGTACCCCGCCAGCATTGATGATTAATTAGCTATTGAAAACACGACCCTGAATAAAACCAACCAGTTGCATATCGCCATGTTTGATCTTTTGTGTTCTAACCCGCCGCCCTGTAGCTGAACTTTCCCCTAATAAACCCATAGATGCCATAGACTATAAGGGTCTGTAAGACATACTTATCATTATATACATGATATGGTATGACAATCATCCCCATAAAGCAATCCTGATGTATTCTGTGTATAATGTGTATGGCAGTGTATGGTTTGTTCGTCCCACTAATGTATAATAATATGTCAATAATTATATATATAGAGATAAATATACACATAGCTCACTCCAATATGACGATGACCATGATGATGACGAAGACGATGATGACCACACGAGGATGATGATGATGATGATGATGATGATGATGATGATGATCAGGATCAGGATCAGGATGAGGAGGACGAGGACGAGGACGAGGACGGTGATGATGGTTTAAGACGTTTAAGGTTGGACTGATAGGTTTTCGCTGAAATGATGCTGCTGGTCGTTTGTAGGACCTTGTCAATTGTTGTTTAGCCACCTTCGAACAGTTTCTCTCTTTGGATTTGATTGTGCAGGCTGCGCTCCTCGCCCCTGACCCCCGGTCAGTCTCACCTGTTGAGATGGCGATGGAGAGAGAGAGAGAGAGAGAGATATATATATATATAATTATATATATATATATATACAATTATATATATATATATATGTGTGTGTTTTATCTGCTACTGGTACTGTCTTTGTGCCTGCCCCGATATAGCAGAAAAAACAAAAAACAGCTCACCAGCTGAGCTGAATTTCTCAGCTGTCCTCTTGAATATCTTGAGGTGAACTCAGTCGCCATTCAAGATGCCTTGTCCTTGTCGTCCGCATCTTCCAGAGACATCTCGGCCCTGCCGGAACCCGAGGCTCGTCATTGAACGTTAAGGGACAGCCAAATCACCAAAACCATGAACCCCATGGATACCAGATATATGTATTTGAAGATAAGGGATGAATTCATATGACCACTTGGTCATTTTATATATATATATATATTTATATTTTTATACACAATTTCCATAATATTTATTGTCATTCTGCACATTTCTGTGCATCAAATCCAACCTAGCCAAGTTTGAATGAACCAAGATCTATGGCATATCCATATCCAGATTGCTATACTACATACCCACCTTCACAATCGACCACAATGTTCGCCTGTCCGCTAAGGACCTGGTGACAAAACCAACGACCAATCATCGCGTTTGCGAGTCACCTGGAGGAGCCGGTTTCAGGAGGAGTTTCCATAAATGGGGTACCCCAAATGGATGGTTTATAAGGGAAATCCCAACCAAACATGGATGATTTAGGGGTAGCCCTATTTCAGGAAACCTCCGAAAAAAGTTTCATGATGTTGCGGCTTGTTTTTTGATTCATAATACGTCCTCATGATGTTGTTCATGATTTAAAACAAACATTTTCTCATTATACATGTTCACATGTGTAATATTTGTCACATTTGTGTCACATTCGTTGAATTTTGTTTTGCGGTGATCACCAGAAACATCCAGAAACATTTGGTATTTCTCACCAGCTTCAAGGACCACCATGGCAAATCACAGCTGTTGGTAGGAAAATCAATGTGTAAAAAATGTCATTTCTCAATGCCAGCTTTTACGTATACAGATGCATATAATACATATATTTTGTATGTACATATGCATGTACGTAGATACATGTTATGCAAATGTGCACATATACACGCACACACACACACACGTGTGTGTATATATATATAAATGTGTGTTTGTGCATGCATGCATATGTATATATATATATATACATATGCATATTTATATTTATGCACAGGTACCTTTTTCCTAATGTTTTGCATCTAAGTATGGCTGGTTTCGGAAAGTCTAATTGGATGTATTCTGCTTGAATCGTTGGTCCCGGAAGTTGCTAAAGATGGAAAAATGGCTGCTGGTAACCATATGATGCCCTATGATTTTCCAGGTTTGTTTCTCTAAACATCAATCCATGGACCCATGAAACCCAGTAGTGGTTAATTTCCACAATTTCGATGGTTCAGTTCCCATAAATGTAAAACCAACCACTTCAGGGTTTCCAAGAGGAACTTTGAACTTTCCCATGTTCTTTCTGTTCCATGATGCCGGCTGGCATTTTTTTTGTTTGTAGCCGGATGTAGCCCACCATTTGCTTGGATATCTTGGGAGGACATATATGCATACGCAGACACACATAAAATCGCATACATACCTACATGGCATGGATGAACACAATATCTGAATAAATATATACTCCGACATTACGTGGGGTTTACACGTGGGATTGATTGGGGTGTATTCTGACATAAGGGGATGATATAGCCATACCCATAGGATCCACGTATGGTATATACATATATATATATACTAACATTGGGGGTATATTGATGGTAAATGTTACCAAATATATCCATATATAGCATACATGGATCCTATGGGATACCCTTCTTTCCAACCGGTTGAACACATTTCCCAAGGGTGCTGGACCACTGGAGGTTTCCAACCGGACCACTGGACCCGTCCCCAGGTTGCTGCGAGCTTTGCTGGTTGAGTTCAGCATGGCTTCCTTTCAGCAGGACGTCGACGACCTGAAACGCAAGGTGGGACGGCGGCGCCCGGGGAATCCAGGGGACCCCCGGGGACCCCGGGGACCGGTTTTTGAGGTCTGTTTGGGCTGCGGAAATCGGGCTTGAACCCTGGGGTACTTTCGTAGAACCCCGGTTTTTTTGCCATTTTTTCAATGGAAATTTCAGGAACCTAAATTGGAGGTACCTACCATATATACGGCCTATATAAGGGCTATGTAAGGGGATATCCCTCCAGAATTCCCATTGATTTTTGTGAAGGAGAGATCCACCTAACCAATTGTTTGTTCAGCTTTCGCAGCCCATCAAAGATTAGCCATGAAATAAATCATTTTCATGAAACTCAGATGATCCAATAGGGCACGATGCGGCACGATGCGGCACGCTGCGACGAGGCCAGCACACAACGACGAAGAATGAAGGGTAGCAGTGAAGATCCCGATGCTGGTCACGTTTGATATCCCACCTGGATGAGTTGTTTCAAAGGGGGTACCCTCTGGTAAACGTTTACATAACTATGGAAAATCACCATGTTTAATGGGAAAAGCCACTATAAATCACCATTTTCAATAGCTTTTTGATGATTTTTGTATGTTTACCAGAGGGTATCTGAGATTAATCAGTCGTGAAATCGTGAGAGTCTGTGTTGTTTATTCAATGCCATGGGTTTGCCCAGCAGAACATGTGCAGTGAACCAACGAGACTGAGGAATCAAAGTGACACTGGGATATCCCATAGGATCCATGTCATCATGTATGGTATATATACTAACATTGGGGGTATATTGATGGTAAATGTTACCATATATATATAGCATACATGGATCCTATGGGATAGCAGATGCAAATGCCAAAGCGGATTGTAAAAGACGTCATTTCCCCAATGCGTTTCTCCGATGTTTTTCAGGCTTGAAATTGGAAATGCCTAGACCCGGCTCGCAGGTTTATGTCATGTCGATTGCCTTGCCGAAATCCAATGTGGCGATATAACATCCTAATTCTATCCAATTCTGATTCTGACTACACAAATCAGTCCTGTAATATATATATATATATATATATGTACACTTACATACACACACACACACGCGCAAATATATATATATACACATGTGTGCGTGTAAAATTATGTAACTGGTATGTTTACAATTGCCTCGTTGCATTACCAGAGGGCAAATCACTGCTATATCCGCTGATGTCAATCCCGAATTAGTCATCCCCTGGGCTGTTCTAGTGGGAGTCTCAGATGAAATCACTTTTCTGGGGGTTACCCCTGCTAGAGCAACTAGGGTTAATTAATCTCATTCTGACCTTGAAATTGCATTAGATGTCCAATCTTTGCTTGGTAGTTTCTAATTCTGTTCATTTCCCATTCCTAAACTTTTGTTTTTTTCCCCAAGTGACAGCCAATAGATATATTCAAAATTGGCCCAAGGACCACCCCATCAATGGATGGATGATCTACCGGAGAGTATCCGGGATACCACTTCTGAAAGCATTGTTTCTACTACCATGAAGTATCCGCTGTCCTGAAACATGTCCGATAAATCTGGGAAAACCAGGATGGGTACTTTAGTACTATATATATATATATATATTTGCTAGAAATGGAAACGCGAATGAACCCATCAAATATATTCAACTATGTAATTTGTTGCGGTCTTTTCCCTATTTTCCCATCGATTTTCTCAAACTTGTCCAAGGATTTCATGGGTGTTTCGAGCATGTTTTCTGGTCATTTCTCCAAGGAGGGCTACTATCACCTTCCGGGCCGCAGCGCCTTAGCTCTCCAAGTCTATCGAATGGTGCTCCCTTGTTTTGGCCCCTCGGCGGAGGATCAGGCTCCCAACGAAGACTGAGCTGTTTCCATTTTTTGGGCACCGGGTTATCCCAAAATGATGGAAAATTACCCTCTGGTAATTTAACATAGCTATTGAAAATGACCATTTACAGTGGATTTTCCCATTAAAAATGGTGATTTTCCATAGCTATGTTAGTTTACCAGAGGGTATGGAAAATCATCCTGTGTAAAAATCATGTTTTTCACAGGGCCCTTTAAACATGCTTAAAAATGCTGATCATGTAAATCATTGTAAATCATGTGATTTCATCATATTTCATCCCCGAAATTCAGGGTTTCTGGGGTGTAAAACCAAACGGGATGGGGCGATGTGACCATATGATAAGACGGGATATATTTATATATATTTTGGATATCGGGGTATGCCATATGATGTTGACCATAGTTCTAGCTCCAGGTTACCCAAATTCAGAAAAAATACCTATACCATGAATCCATCGTACTCCAGACCTGTCTCTTTGGACCCATTGTTTTCCCAACCTGTTTCCCTGTGTGTGACATGTTTCACACCTGTGAATTGACTGGTTGTGGTGGGAAGACCTTTCAGCTCAATTTGGAAATTGTTTGGCACCATGTCGATGCCTTGTGTTGTTCCTGAAATGCTATGGAGCCTGGATGAGCTAAAGCGTACCCTGATAAGTGAGTTTCCCATTTTGGAGACTGAAGAAGGAGGGTTTCAAAATATTGTTTGAGTTGTTTGTTGAATGGGCTGAAATCCTGTTAAATTACTACAACCAGCATCGGCTCTGCTGAATTTGGGGAATTGTGGCCCAGAATCCTTCTCAGGGGATTTCCGGCCGCGCATACTCATGTGGCATCGCACTCGAGGGGCGTCATCGCACCCCAGAGGACCCCATCGCACTCCACATACATACTCACAGATCTTCGTACTCCACTAAAGGCATCGTATACCAGAAAAACCTTCGCACGAAACCAAAAACCATTTTTTTTGAAAAAATGAACCTGAAGAGGTGTTTTTTATTTTTTTCTCTTCGGAGGTAAAATGCTCTGGAATATGATAATATGGAATATGGGGGAAATCGTTGTTTTTCCAGCGTTTTGAAGAGTCGCGCATACAATCGTATTCCATCAAATTTTGATACTTTAGACCTGTGGAGGCTATGGAAATTCTCGGTTGTGATGTTAGCCGTGCAGGATGGAGTGTGATGCTTTGTGGGTATATGGAATGGAATTTGTGACCCAAATTTGATCAAAAAAGATGTCAACATATGCTTGAGAATCCCACATGCAGGACTGGCAACGCATACCAGGGGGGCATCGTACTCCAAGGGGGCATCGCGCTCCAAGGGTGGCATCCTACTCAATGTAACTGTATTAAGTGGAAATATGATACCATTTGGGTTCGAGGAAGAACAGCGTAATCCAGACTTGGCCCAGTTTACGGATTCGGAAGCTAAACCGCCAGCCAAACGCGTCAAAAAAATAAGCTGAACAGCTTATCCAATGGTCTTAAAAGATCCTAGAGAGAAGTTGATGTTTGATGAGAGAAACAATATGTTTATTCAAGAAATCATTCCTTGAGAAGCTGTGGACTCAAAGGATCTTAGCGGGGTTAAACATGTGCGATTGGACATGACAGCACGTGACAAGGGAAAAGATGGGCCTGACAAGGGTCACACAACCTCATTCTCACCATCAAAGGTCGTTCATTATTTTCCAAACTTCCGGAGCTATTTGGCATGGAATATGAACAGCCTTGGAATACCGGTAAGATTTTGCTAGAATAGTATTGGGATGACGGTCCGAAACCACCAACTATATTGGGATATTAGATAATTGTAGGCCGACATGTGATATTTGGGTCTGTCTGCAAATGGATGAACATGGGGGAATTGTCCGAATCGCAATTTGAATGAAACTGCTATAATATATATAATACCCTCTGGTAAACTAACTTAACTATGGAAAATCACCATTTCTACTGGGAAAACTCACTAGAAATGGTCATTTTGAAGAGCTATGTTAGTTTACCAGAGGGTATGTATATATATAATTATATATATATATATACAAGTGGATTTCGGGGGCTTCCCTAATTCGGCGATGAAAAGAGATAAATACCATGAAGTTCGCTGCCAATTGATGGTCAAAATGAGGTTTGATGGATGTTGATGCAGACATATATTGCATATTCATACGCATCTACCTTTGGTTTCTTTATGCACCCGATTGAAATTTAGTGTCCAAGAGATGTGCACACATAAATCATGAATCATAGAAAAGCATGTAGATGCATGTTTCATGCACATACATACCTAAGGCATCCACAACTATATATATATATATTATATTTAATATGTATATATATATAATATTAATTATTGTATATTCTTGCATGTATATATATATACTGTATATTATTGCGCACACACACAGATATATATATATATACATATATATATATATATACGTATACGTCTTCATTCTTCAGGACGTTTGCACACCTATTGGTTGTGGCGGTTGTATTCTTCGACACCCGAGTTGCCACGGAATTTGGCCACCGCAATTCAATTTCCAACAGGGTTGTTCCAACCGATTGTAGGTATACGATTCCCGCAAAAGAGGGACATTGGTGATATATCATATAATTATATATATATATAGTTTAGCCAATTATCCCCTGGTAGTACTTCTTTAGCCAATTTATGGTTTAGCCTAAACCCACATATGGGTGATTTTACTTCTTTAGAAAAATGCCCCTGGTATTTGGGATGTTGGGAAGAACCCTGTCCAATAGGAAAGCGTGGAGACCCTATCACTTCATCCTTTAGCCCTGGCGAAAGATGCACACAGATAGCATGTGTATGTCTATCTATATTGTAGATATATATATATATATACATATATTTATTTATCCATATTCACATACATATATATATGTATATATATATATGTATATATATGTGTATATATATACATATATATATATATGTATGTGTGTATGTATGTACAATATCGAGATACACATATCATGCAATGACAGAACCACACATTTCAACGCAGAGACGCACGGACAACGCTGTCTTTGGCCAAGGTTTTGACGGTAGCAAGGTGCTTTGGGCGGCCAGGGTTCCACCCGGTGGCCAAACATCTGCCAAACGCAGTCCTGTTGCATTCCCCAGGGGTTGGTAACTGTCCCATTTTGGGAATAGCCATTATAGACCATATACCTAAAATGGGTGTACTATATGGACTATAATGGCTACTATATGGCTACTATATGGACATCACCTTGTAGTAGCCATAAAAAAGACCATATACCATTCATGGTTGGGTGATGTGACCCATGGGGACATCAGTCATGACCCATGTTCCCGGAGGCCGGCGTGAATGACATGATCTTGCACTGCGCCGAGTTCATGAACAATGATGAAGTGGCCCACTTGGTGGATTCCATCAACCTCAAGTTGGGCATGAGTCCCGAGGCCTGTTCGCGTTGGCGTAACATCATCATGAACTGAGACCGTTTTAAAAAGCGGTCCGAAGTGAGGGGGAGACCATGAGTCATAAGTCATGTCATCTCAAAGAACATATGGTTTCTTCAAGAATGCGGTGGGTGTGCTAGCATGGCAAATATTCAAAAGCAAGATTCTGCAGTTTCACATGTGATATTTTAAATTAATGTAATTATATGTCATTAATTTATTTAGGTGTAAATTATTTAAAATTGCAAATGAATGCCGCACACTCAATTTCAAGTAGAACAGCTTTCGTCTGCCATGCTGCGGTTCACCGCTTTCAGTGTGTCTCTCCCAGCTCAGTGAAATGGCCGAGTGCCTAGTGACGCGTCGCAGACGCAGGCCGGTGCAAAATACACCGGCAGGCGACAACGGCGACAACAAGCGTCAAGGACAGCAACCTTTGGTCCATTTCAAGGAGCTTCGAAGCATGATCTTTCCATGTTTGCTTTGGTGATGGCTTCTGAAGACTCTTCAGCCTTTCCTCATCGAAGTTGGCATTGCAAGTGGGAGCCCAGGATGCCAGATGGAATACCAACTCTAAATGGACATAGTGAACCCAAATCTCCTGATACTTTGTCCACATTGGCCACGAATCACCCACACAGACTTGTGCATGTGAATGCCATATGGAATATGAATGCAGATAACCTCGCAGATAAAAAAATCTCGTTCCAGTTCCAATACCATCTGGTTATTTAACAGTTCGCCATGGAAAATCACCATGCTATTAATAGGTAAACCATCTATTTCTATGGGTCATTTCCCATGGCTATGCTAAATAACCAGAGGGTAAACCTCCATTTTCCTATGGTTTTCCTATGATTTTCCCATTTTCCTACGGTTTTCCTGCAGCTACAACGGCGCGCACAGCACAGTACCGGGCCTTTCTGGCTTGGGCTCCCATGGCTCCACGAATTCAGACCGTTCGCCTCGAGGGTACAGAGACGAAGTTTTGCACCTGGAGATGGTCATGGATCAAGACAACTAAGTTACTGTATAATGGTGAATAATGGTGTTTAATAGTGGTGTTTAATAATGGTGTTTAATAATGGTTAATGATGTTTAATGAGGGTTATATAATAATGGTGAATATGTGGTTGGTGGTGACTGGAACCATGGAATTTTATGACTTTCCTTATATTGGGAATGTCATCATCCCAACTGACTTTCATATTTTTTCAGAGGGGTTGAAGCCACCAACCAGTATAGATATGCCATAACTACTTAGTGCATCTTATTAGTTGTATATATGGACATATAATTACTGTATGCATCTATATGCCATATGTATATATATACACCGGATATATGCACTATACATACCGATAGTTTTTACCTATAGACAATTTTTAACGATAATACAAATATATTTACGTACATATCTATGTATATATATATATTAATATGCAGACACTATATATATATATATACACCAACATGTGCCATACATAAATGACATATGTACATACGATAGATATATACGCACCACACGTGTAATATAAATATATATATATACACACATCACTATTTAAATGTATAGTTGAGGCATGATCATCCATATTTATACCAGCTTAACCTGTATTTTCATGCCATATTTAAAACAGGTTGCCTTAAAAAAGTTCCGCACCAGCTTGGTGACCCCGCGTTGTGGGTGAATCCCCCAGAAATTTGTGCAGCGTTTGGTGTTTAGGCGCAGCCTGATCACAGATTCCTCAGATGTGGTGTTGGTTTTGCTTAATTTCCAGGGATCCAAGAACTGCATGAGGCCAGATTTCTTGGAAACTGTACACTATGACCCGTTGTGCCAGTTCGAGCTGATGCGCCAGTGAAGCGTGTGTGAACTTCTCCTTGGAAGATCGGAGGCAGATTGTTTCAAAAGCGCTTTTTGAAGCGCTTAACATGAAAGAACTACATTGGCCGCAAATGATCATGGCTTAATTTGTGATATTCATGGCTGATAGCACCTGATGTGTTCATCCCGAGGGTGCTGCCTTTCCAGGGTTACCACCGAGCCTGCAGAAACGGGTTCCAAATGAGGTTCCAAACCACTTCGACGCGCGTCGCTTCGACAAGGGGGTGACAAGGCATGAAGATTTAAATCCTGCCTCCCTCACAGGCTACTGGGAGATGCCACGAATCAAATTGGGGTAGAATGTGCCAATATGTTTGCATATATATATATGCTACATATATATATGATTATATATGTATATATGTATACGTGTATGCCTGTTAAACCGCAAGTATGCAACATTTTAGTCATCTCGCGGAAAATCATGTTTTTTCAATGACTGTTTTGGTGGACAACTGCACACAAATATACGTTTTCTGTTTTTTTCGGGATTTAATTGGAATGTGTCATGTTGTGCAAGGAAACGTGGGTTTTTCAGGGGCATTTGCCACGTGTGAACCTGATTGAGCTCCATAAATGACCCATGGGACTCTTGTTGCAAGGCCCCAAAGCCTGTCCAAAACAATGGCGGACATTTGCGTCGAAATGGCGGAAACCAGCGGAAAGTGGCGGAAATTTCCGGACATTTCCTGCCAGTAAATCTTGCTTGTAATCAGGGTCTGCCCACCACAACAATTGAAAACCCAAATTTACATTTTTTACCGGTGATTGATGACGTTTTTTGGTCAGGAATGAATTATTTTGTTTCATTGAAAATCAGCCCGCCTTGAAAAAATACATAGGATTTTCTATATGTCACGAAAAAAGAACACGCATCCTCATGTGTTGCGTATGGTTTCTCACTCTAAGAATAATGATATCATCCAATCGGGATTTCAATGGGGATTTCATATGAGGAGATATATATATATATAATTACATCACCGAAATTTAATTGGATTTAATGGGATTTAATTGTATTAAATGGGGATCAACAGAAAACACGATTAATATTTAGATACATTCTATAGCGACTGAAATTATTTCACGTCGTCACTAGAAATGATGGTTAGGATTTAGGGGAATCCTCCCCAAACGGCCGAATTTTGTAACTTCTCTAGAAATATGTCCCAACTTTTTTGCTGAGTGATTTCCAGTTGAAATCACCAGTCGCTGAAACCTGCTACTTTTTTCAAGTCCTCATGAGATCTCATGAGTATCTTCGTATATGTTACCCTCTGGTAATTTAACATAGCTATTGAATATGGTCCATTAATAGTTGATTTACCTATTAAAGATGGTGATTTTCTATAGCTATTTAAGTTTACCAGAGGGTAAACCTCCATTTTCCTATGGTTTTCCTATGGTTTTCCCATTAAAACCTCCATTTTCCTATGGTTTATCCTTCAAAACCAGCCGGAAAGCTGGCGTAGATTCGGCGTAGATTCGTTGTCCTCAATCGCCTTTCTGAAGTGTTGAAGTTCCAGCTGGGAATCCCATATGAATGGGTGCATTCTCAGGTGGATTGGTATATATATATATATTATGTATACAAGGTGGTGCCCCATAGTTAGCTAAGTTGGTTTATAACTCCCATAATTATGGTTTATGGTAGATAGAACTATAGTTAATGGGGTTTATAAACCAACTTATAACTCGGGGGCACCATCCTGCATGTATGGTATAACTCGATATTATATACACGTATATATATATGCATATTATATCTTGGTTACATATTGAATGATAAATAGATAACACATAATAAAACGCAGGTAATTATATATATAGTACTTATATGAATGGACGCCTGGAGATTGCGATGGATACAGATGTAATTACATACTATATTTACACACACACACATATATATATACACATGTATACGTTGGTATTTTACACTAGTGCATACTTTTCGCAACATTTTGCCAGGTGAAAAACGTTGAAACAAATCCTATGTTCACATTTAAATCCATGGTATTTCGGATATTTCAGGGTTGGGATTGCAACTTCTGATTCGAAAACTCCCAGTGTCAGAGCCTTTCCGGCTCCTACTGAGCTGGTGGACGCCCAAGTTGCGGCGACCGCGTGTCGGCTCTTGCACGGCAGACAGCTGTTGCCGGCGCGGCCCATTTGAATGGGCCAAACGTTGATTTGTTTGTCCAGCCGGACTTTCCCTGTGTGAACATACAAAAATGTGGAAAACCATGGTTTTCAAAGGAACACTATCTACACATGGTGGGTTTTACACATCTATGTCTGTAGAAGGGTAACAGATTTGGAGAAACCGCAGAATGTTGATTTCAACTTGACCATGGCTGGGGTCCAAAGATGTAATTCATGAGTAATTCCTGATGACCACTATATACTTGGGGAAGCCGTTGCGACTTCATTTTTTAAAAAACGCGGCAAATGGATGTTCACCGCTAAACAGGTTCCCATAGGATCCCATAGGTGGCTCATCGACATTGGTCGCAACTTGGCGCCTGCTGGAACACAGAGGTCGGACTCAAACAACGAGAACCACGTCCTACAAAACCAGACAAGGTCTGTTCTCCTGCACGGATGGGAATGTTATAGCCGACTGGGATCCTTGTGACATCTTGTGAGGGCTGGACAGACAAATGGGTCATTGCGTCAGTGCATGTGTTTGAAACGCGTGTCTGCATGCTCGTCGCGCCACTCGAGGGTCCCCTAAACTCACGAGTTCGCGTGAGGATTTCGCACGGCGATGCACCGGACACTGGCCGACACGGTCAGTACTGCAATCAGGTAGTCGCTGGGGTTGGAACCTCGTGCAACACTGGAAGATATTGGGGATACATGGGGATACCAGTCAGTTACCAGACTTCGCAAGCGCTTGGGTCGAACTTTAAGGATATCCATGGATATCCCCTATGTTCTTAACAAGTTGCCTCATCATATGAATATGCAGCTTCCTCAAAGTTGTCCATACTTGTTTGGCATTTGTTTGGCTTTGTCAGGACAGTGGCTGTGGGGCCCTGTGGGGTAGCTGTTGGTAGACCCCTACTTTTCATAGGTCCTGGAAGACACGATGATGGCAGATGGTGTATAGATGTGTATAGATCTTTTGAATTCTTTTGATTGTTTCCAGTGGTTAGGAGGGAGCTAAGGAGCTATGGGTATTCATATTCCCTATTAAATGGGGAGCTAAGGAGCTGCCAAGAGTTTCCCAACCACATACTAGAATTCAGCATATTTTGCTTATCATCTTCTTGCGGCCGGGACTGGGGCCGCTCTTCGGGACGGCGGTTTCAACCCAGCTGAACCAGCTGATTACTTGCACATTGCCGATAGGTAGTGGCAACCCCATATTGTTTCATAAACCTTGGTCCATTATAATTGGACGGGTCATACTCTAATCGCCATCTAAACTGGGACCCCGGTCTATCAATCCAGATGGAAACGCGAAAAAATCGTAGATGGATCATCGCGGGAATCCGCATGCGCTCGAGCCGGACTTCGATTGGCTTTGCGTTCCCCGAGGCTCAGGGTAGCTGAAAACATTGAAAGCCGACTCCCTGCAGTGATCGTTCGTTCCTCGTGGGTGGAAGATAAGTGTATGGGGATTTTGTATGCACTAAGGTGGTAAATTGAGTAATTCATCGCTTTCTTGCATGGTTTCAACAATTAAAGCAATTAGATTGGGTATGTGGGTTGCGACCAGTCAATCTTGCAGTTCTTAAAGTTTAACTATATTGGCCTGCTATAGGCGGCAGAAACATGCAGAAACCAGGTCACACGCTACGGCCCTACATGATCAGAAAACTTGTGGGCATAGTACTACATCATGATTCTGGCTGCCAGAAATCAGTTGGTTTATGACTTACTTACAACATCTTACAACTCCCCAATATCTACCATCAACCCTAGCTGGACTTGTTAAACAAACCAAGTTTTCAGGATCTGATCGGGACCCACCTTGTAGAGGTATGAAGGGCCAACGCCGGAAAGGCCCAAAAGGGGGTATTGCAATGTTGGTAGGGAATATGAAACCAGTTGACTTGGGAATACGCGAACTGTTCAGACTTCAATCCCTATTTTTCGGGATATTTTTGGAGCACAGTCCCACAAAAAGACGCCTTGGATATATAATTATACATATACACATAAGCACACATAAAAACATACTCTCCAGTTTCAGTTCCTGGCATCTTGATGAAGTGTTTGTTCGTTGTTACGGAGCATGCATCAGGCTATGGAACAGTTGAAGCCAACACACCATGAAAGTTTAAATGTATTGCGGCCTGGCCTCGCATCATACGTAGCACGTGGAATGAAACTAAAATACACTAAAATAGGTTCCTTGATGCTTATTGCGGGTCTGTAAAAATAAGAACATTTGCGTACATTTTCTGCTGTTCGGTTTCTGTGTTGGCCTTTCCAATGTTCCACTTTTGAAGGCTGCCCTGACCTGTGCCAACTGTACTCCAGCTAAGACTGCTGTGTGCGTGCGGCTGTGCTGCATGGCACTTGAAAGATCAATTTGGGGAACGTTCGGAACGAGTGGAGACTCAGCAAGTCGGCAGGAACTCTCCAAGTGTTTCATTTAATGGAAAGGTTGCTGCGGCGTATATAAAACAAATCGGCTGCTGTAAACATTCAACGGAACCAGTTTTATTCCTTCGAAGTACTGCAAAGTTTCCTACATATTTCAGCTGGCTGGTAGTTTGACAATATATATATATTCTTACAGGGAGGCAATTCGATATTTTATTGCAAATGCTTTGCACATATACAATCATATACACATGTGTTGTACACACAATTATACAATATACTTTTATATCATACATACACATATTTATATATATATAGATTTGAATGTAATTCTTGCACATGATTGAAGATATTCTGAATTTCCATTGGTGTTCTTTTCCTACCTGCTGGGCTTACTGGGACTTTACAGTCGCCTTGACCGGGTGTTTTGTACATACCAAGTAGGCCTATTCGTCACGTGGCGCACGATGAGAGCCATGCCATGGGTGGAGGCCATGGCAGCCATGGAAGCGCAGCAACACAGGTCCTACAGCCTCACCTAACAGAACTATGGAAAATCACCACTTTTTAAGGGGAAAACTCACTATAAATGGCAATTTTCAATAGCTTTTTGTATGTTTACCAGAGGGTAAGTCGTTCGATTTTTTTTCATGATAGATGATCAATGGCAAATTCAATCTGACCATTTGAATGGGCCAGCAATTCTTGAACTTTATTTTATTTCTATTTTTTGATATTTTTTGGGCATGTGAATCGCCACAATCTGACCTGGCCTATGCCATGCCTGTAAGTGCCTGCAGCTTTTGCAGAGGTATCACATCTCCCAATTCCTATGTTATTGGTGTAGCTGAACATTGGTTTAGTTATCAAAACTAGCTGGATCTAGCTGGCCATTTATACAATCCCCAAATTGCATTTTTTCAGCTCGCGAGCAATATGAAAATCACTAGCCAGGTAGCATTAGTTCTGAAGACATAGCAGCCTCATCACATCGCCCAGGATGGGCTTAATTGACTTTTTGCAATTATATTAAACCCATCATCCCCCCTGTTTAAACCTGTAGGTTTTTAAGTGCCCCCCATATCGGCGCCATCTTTATTTCACGGTGTTCAGCCGGAGGTTGTGATGGGATTTGAACTTGGGGAAGTTGAAATACTTTCAAGCGGGAAAGTTTAAGGTTGTTCTTTTTTTAACTGTCCCAAGGGGAAATACACTATATTTAATGGGAAAATCTATGGTTTCCTGTAGATTTTCCCTTAAACCAATCCATTGAAGAATATTCTAAAAAATCATGGCGCGATTTTTTGTTGAGTTTTCTCATGACCAGATTCATTCGGTTCCAAGCGGCCAAGTGTTGCAGTAGGGAGCTTCGATGTGGCGACGAGTGGAAATTCAGGCACGCCTTGACGTGTTTTCGCGTTGATGGCAGGCACCACCCGAGGTACCTTTGTGTTACTCATGGGACACTCACAGCCATCACCAGCCGTCAAAAGCTGGGGTTGACTTCATATGGGGGTTTCCATAAATGGGGGTACCCCCAAAATAGATGGTTTATAAGGGAAAATCCCAATCTAAAAGATGATTTTCATTTCCATTCATTTTATATGTCCTATCGGTTCTTGGTAGGAGCCTCTACTGACTTATGGCACCTTCGTCCAGCGAAATGGGGGTACCCCAATAGCTGGAGGGTTTATTTCATTGAAAATGCAACATTTAAATGGATGATTTGGGGGTACCACCCATTTTATTTGCCTCTCTATCGGACTCTATCAGAATCTATCTTGTTCTATCTCTCTATCTCTACCCCAGCCTAACTCTCCATCTCTCTTTCTCTCTATCAAATCTATCTTATCTATCTCCTCTATCTGATCTATCTCATCTGTCTTACCAATCTTGTCTGTCTTATCATTTTGTCTGTGTTGTCTTTCTTTGTCTATCCTATATTTCTTATCTTCCTTATATCTATTTTTCTTCTTATCCATCTTATCCATCTTAGTTATCTTATTTATCTTATCTATATTATCTGTCTTATCTAATATCTATCTTACCCATCTTATCTATCTATATCTATCATATCTATCATATCTATCTTATCTATCTTATCTATCTTGTCTACCTTATCTACCTTATCTATCTTATCTATCTTATCTATCTTATGTATCTTATGTATCTTATCTATCTTATCTATCTTATCTATCTTATCTATCTTATCCATCCACCACCCATCCATCCGTCCATCCATCCACCCATCTACCCATCTACCTCTTTACCTATTTACCTACTGTATCTACCTATCTACCTATGTATCCATCCATTTAATCTGATCTGGTCTAATATAATCTAGTCTAGCCTATTCTAATCTTGTCCAGTCTAGTCTATTCTAATCTAGCTATCTGGGTATCTAGCTATCTAGGTATCTAGCTATCTAGGTATCTAGCTTCATATCTACCTATCTAGCTATCTGGCTTTCTATACTATCTAATCAATCTATCCAATCTAAATAAATCTGAATCAATCTAGATCAACCTAAATCAATCAATCAATCAATCAACCAATCAATCAATCTATCTATGTGTTTGTCTATCTGTCTATCTTTCTATCTATCGTTCTATCTATCTATTTGTCTATCTGTCTATCTATCTATCTATCTTTCTATCTTTCTATCTTTCTATCTTTCTATCTTTCTATCTATCGTTCTATCTATCTATCCATCCATCAATCCATCCATCGATCGATCTATTGATCTATCAATCTATCGATCTATCTGTTTGTCTATCTGTCTATCTGTTTATCTACCTATCTATCTCTATCTTCATATATTGATCTCTATCCCTGGTTCTGTGGAACCTAACTGATGGTTCTTTCCAATCTTGGAGGCATTTTCATTGTCCGTTTCTGCCATCCTCCTTTGGAGCTGCCCTCAACCTTTCCGTGGCGCTGAAGACAAAACACAGCGCCATGCACGGCCGGCTTTCGACGGCTTAAGCATGATCCGACTCACCTTTTGAATGAGTCCAGTTGCGGACAGAGATCTTTCAGTTGGTGGGCGTATCTGGAGATTGTTTGGGAAAGTAATGGAAAGTACATGTATATGCTAGCCATCGTTTCGACCCAACCTTGCCACGGCGGATATTTGTTGGAAATGGTTTTCTTGAAAGTGATGCCACACATCATTTGTTCCCTGCTTTGTGGACAAACCCATTTAACTCCTTTTCGTCGATTTATATCACCTAAAGAAACGCATCCATTAACAAGAAAAATATATATATATACACCATAGCAGAGGCTGCCTTTATTAGCCCACCCAAGAAGCATCCAAAACCATTATATATATTCAGAGGTTTGATCCTAATTTTTGAATGTTATCAATCCCAAATTTGGCCAAAATTTATTATTTCTGGGTAATTAAGCCCATCCTCAAATCATCTCAGCATTTGTCTCGCTTAAATCAGTTTTTTCTTGGAAAAAATCATCGTTCTTGGTAAAGTCACCATGTCTGGAATCCTGAGCTTGCTACCCTGTTGGTAAACTAACATAACTACGGAAATCACAATTTTTAATGGATAAATCCATATAAATCCACTATTTCAATGGCCATTTTCAATAGCTTTTTGTGTGTTTACCAGAGGCTACGTCCAACCCATCAAGGCTGGCCTAGTCCAGCAGGGGAGATGTCGTCCGTCTCCGGTGCACCAGCACTGGAGGAGTTTGGATTGGAGTTCTCCTCGGCATTCTGCTTAGGGTTATGTATAGTAATTATACTTATATGATACAATATATATATATATATATATGATAATATAATATAATATGATATGATATGATATGATATGATGTGATATGATATACATATATATATATATATATACATATACATATATATATATTATGACTAGATATTTGTGGAAACCCCGGCAAGGTGGAAAAGTCAATCATCAACTTAGGAAAATTACTTTTCTTTTTCTTTGGGGGTATACTTTTGCTTGATGGGGCTGGAAGAATCTTACACCGGGAAGAAACAACCGAACTTGGCTTAGTACATGTTAATACATGTGACTCTTATCCATGTTAAGACAACTGTTAAGACATGTCAATATCAAGGGCACATTTATGGTCGATCTTCTATATTTGAGCGTAAAAGCCAGCGAGTTTCAGGTTTCAGTTTTCCTTTAGATCAATCGTGTGCAGAAAAAAATGATTGCTATCACTCGAAGGGTTGTGTAAGACTGCTTGAAATGCACTATCGAATAGATCAACCCTGCAACATCCGAAGAATCACAATGCGAGGAGAACAGTCGAGTTTGCGCGCCAAGAGGGCGACTCATGTCTCTTGAGTCCAGTCGTGCGTCGTGTCTGCATACCCAATGGTGTGAGCATCGACGCCGGACGGCGGCAGCCCGTGTCTAGTACCTCACAGCGACTTTCAAAGCTACAGACAAAACATTCGGATCGCAGTTTCGTTTCGCGTGTTTATGCGTGTTTATGAGCGGAACAAGCCCATGAATTTCCATGAAAATTATGGTTTTCGATGGTTTTCGGCCATTGTCATGGTGTTTTTGTTCACCAAAATCCATAATTTTCATCCAACACATGACTGGTTGGTGGTTTGGAACATGAATTTTATTTTTCCCATCATATTGGGAATGTCGTAACCCCAACTGACGAACTCCATCATTATTCAGAGGGGTAGGTATACCACCAACCAGATGACAATTCACCAAATTTTGGCCATTGTTAACTGGGGGGTTTAGTCTCTGGAGAGCCGGTGGCTTTAGGCGAGGCTTGGAGAACACAGCACCTGAGAAGCTCGGCTTAAGGTTGATGCCCCACCGGCCCCGCGGACCCTTAAAAGTGGCAGCCATATCCCACAGGAAGACCCGTGAAAAGCCATAAAAAACCATAGGAAAACCAGCATATATTGTTGGATCAATTTTCAGTTCGTTAGTGTAAATGGCGTAAACGCTTGGCCTATGTATGTGGATGTTGAGATAAGAAGTTTAAACAACTCATAAACCCAAAAGAGCTTCAACCACTATGATGTGATATGTGTTCTTATGATTGAATGACATGTTTCCAGCATGTTTCCAGCCGCCTCCGTCAGGATTAGTGAATGTGATTGAGATAAATATTGACATCTAACATTAGATACCATCATTGAACATTGCCATTTATAGTTGCATATAGGAATATATTATATATATACATTTATATATATACATATATATACATACATACATATATATATATACATGTATTATAATTATTTAATTTGATGCCAGACGTGTTTTTCTTCCTTGACATCATTGGGATACAACATGGTCACTATACTTTACTTTCTAGCTTTAGACTTTCACAGAAAAGAACAGCAATATTTGATGGGAGAAAAGCATCTCCGCCATTGTTCCAGACAAAAACCTACACTTCTTCACCAGGAATGAGCATTCACAAAAATCCCTACAGATCCCCCACACATCAGCCAGGGTTCCTATAAATTCCACTGTGGCAAACCCAATGCCATAAACAATCCCCAAGTCACCATTTTTATGGGTCCTATAAATCATCCCCAAATGGTAGGTTTATGGCATTGGGTTTCCCCACATTAATATTCATAGAGTTATGAGTTTGTATCATAGATAATATATGACCATCATACAGCTATATATATATGATAAGAATACAATAACTTACAATATCAGCTATTATACGCTATCGTAGTGAAATAACCATGATATAACGGATGCTGGCTATCCCATATAACTGCGATATAATGGGAACATATGGGAACATAACTATGATGGGGATATCAATGGATATATATATATATAATTAAATATAATTATATAATCGCATCTACCATGGCTGCCATCATGGGATTAGCTACCACTACCGGTAAAATGAACAGCTCGACCCGACAGTCACCGATTTTTGGGTGGTTTCACTCATCCGAACCAAGCCCTATCTGCCGGCGTCATTTTTAATTTTAACCGGAGGCTATTTACATCTCTATGATATATAATTATGATTAATTATGAATATTCATTTATAATTTTGTATTATATAAATTAATGATATTATATATATACTATATATATATATAATATAATACAATATATAATACAATATATATATATATATTATATATATATACACAATCATCATTAGCCAGATGACTAATCATCCTATGACTATTCCGGAGGCCACGGCGCCCAGGCTGAGTTGGTGGAGCTTCACGGCCACGGGCCCCCGGCCGTCGGAGCGTCCGGTGAGCAGCGGCTGCGCCTCCGCGCGCACCCGGCATCGCCTGGAAAGGTGCCGGTCACGACACACGGGTTGGAAAACCATAGGAAAACCGTAGGAAAACCATAGGAAAATGGGAAAATCATAGGAAAACGATAGGAAAACCATAGGAAAACCATGGGAAAATGGAAAAATCATAGGAAAACGAAAGGAAAATGGAGGTTTTCGAATATGATCCCCATGATCATTGTAGTGATTACCCTCTGGTAAATCAACAGTTGGACCCTGAAAATCACCAATTTTTAATGGAAACTAGTCTTCCAACCCCGATGACTGCCAGGGTCATGTTAATTTACCAGAGGGTATATGATATTCTATGGCATAGGGGTGCCACAGTGATTCTTATTTTCTTATATAATACTTAAATCATATTTATCTGGTTGGTGGTTTGGAACATGAATTTTATGACGTTCCATATGTTGGGAATGTCATCATCCCAACTGACGATTTTTTTTTCTCAGAGGGGTTGAAACCACCAAACAGAATGGGACACCTTCCGGTCATCAAAGGTGGTTTGAAAAACCCATGGATAGATGATTGTCCTAATAGAACCTTCACTTATAGGTGATTTTCGATTGCCACGTTTGATGACCAGAGGGATATTAAGATTGATACATCCTCCTGTTATTTCTCTTCCAGTTGATTGTATCTTCCAATCATCAGGAAAATTAGGATCTTATGGGTATTAACCATCAACAATAGGACTGATGCAACATCAAGCAGTCGTGGTATGCTCAAGCATTGTGACCAACCAGGTTCCTGGAAAAAATTACCTGAGGATTCAACCAATGCCCCTTTATTGACCTCCCAATAGTAAGATTCATAATTACCCTCTGGTAATTTAACATAGCTATGGAAAATCACCATTTATAGTGGATTTTCCCATTAAAAATGGTGATTTTCAATAGCTATGTTAAATTACCAGAGGGTACTGGTTGGTGGTGGTTTGGATTTTTTTTCCATGAAACATGGGATAATCCTTCCCATTGACTTTCATATTTTTCAAGATCGTTAAAACCACCAACCAGATAGTTATTCTTGGATGGTTATTTGGTTGGTGGTTTGGAACATTAGTTTTATTTTCACTAAGAGTTGGGATGATGATCCAATCTGACTTTCATATGTTTTAGGGGGGTAGGCCCAACCACCAATTAGATTAAGTTTCGCCCTTTCAACAGTCTTTGTTGCTGGTTAAGAGTCGCCCTCGACATAAGTCGATTTTTAATGTTTAATTACATGCACGTGACTGCAAACATATTTGAGTTCGTGGCAACTGGGAGTTTGATCAACAACAATAAAGATACAAAAAGGAAAGTCATCCAAAACATAAATCCTATGCTATATAATGAGAATCCTATAAAGAATCGGATTATTGGGATGTTTATTTATGGTATATGATCTTATACCATTATATATATATATATGTATAATTTATATAATTATGTTATATCAACAACGGGGGTGCCCTGGGATCCAGGAGCGATGCGTGGAAAGGCAGGCAACAGCGATGTATGATATGGAACGGGTTCCATCCAAGATGGAAGTGGATATGCACACACACATGCAGTATATATATATATATATGCAAGGACATACAAGGATATCATATAATATGCATGTGCATGATTGTGCACTTGTATCAAAATCCGGATTGATCGGTTTGATAGGGTTTTGATCGGACGCATGGTCAACTATATTCATGACACAGGGGTCCTGTTTTTTTTTGCAGAGGTGACCTTGGGAAAACATGGATCTACCATGGATATGATATGGATGAGCCATTCTGAGCAGCAACAAATCATTCACGATTGTGGATACTGTACCCTCTGGGAATCTAAGATAGTTATAGAAAATGGCCAGTTTGTAGATGATTACCTATTGCACATGGTGGCTTTGCTAGATTGCCTTGCCAGAGGATACTTCGCCATTACTTCGCCTACATCCAGCAATTCACCTCACATAGTCAAGTCACACTGAAACACCGCAGCAGAATGCATGACTGGCCAGGCAAGATACCTGGTTTGAAAAGATGGAAGATTAGCAAATAGATCAGCCATGGTGAAATATTCTCATCTTGATGGGGACTGTTGGCCACCCCTCGGTGGCTAGAGAGGCGTTCTGAATTCTCATCATCCCATATCATCCTCTGTTTTTGGAAGCATCCTAATTCTTCTAATTCAATGGATCCAATGTGAATCCAAGCTTTGCGGGGAAGCTTCTATTTTTTCAAATGGCTACGACTTTCAAGTTCTTCAAGTCCTTTGAAAAGTCGTGACTTGAATCCCCCTTCGTGACTTGAATCCCCTTCGTCAGACACGACTTTCAAGTTCTTCAAGCCCCCTTTCCACTTCTCACTTGCTAGGCGCCGAGCGAACAGTCGGAAGCCCAGCGGGGTTGATAGCAAGTAGAGAGCGACCCAAGCTGGAACCAACATCATCGTCGTTTCAGTGCAATTGTAAAGACCTCAAACAGCGATCGGAATATCATCCAGTAATAATAATCCCAATGCTAATTATATAATCCCAATATGAATCCCAATACTAAAATCCCAATACTATATTCGAAGGAAGTTTAGAAGTCAAACTTCCGACAATATGGACAGATGAAAAGCAGAGCAGGGAAGATGCAGAGAGAAGAGAAAGATTAGAAGAGAGAAGAGTAGAAGAGAAAGAGTCAGAAGAAAGAAGATACAGATGCGCGAAAAGGTAGGAAAGTCGCGATTCACTGTGTTTTTCCAATGATTTGTGGCTCCGGAGGG